ATATATATATTCTTCTACAAACCCAAAAGTCTTCAAGAAGTTGTAAATTTGTAGCACACTAATATATTTCTTTATTAATTTAAGGATTTATAATGAAAAGAACTGGGTCTTCATTGAGAACCTGGTGCTAATCGCATTACCCAAAGAAAAACATTATCTGGCTCCTGTCACATTACAAGCACAAACACACAGTACACAGTATTCTCTGCTATAAATAATACTGCTACTTCCATTCTATTCACCCATTTTCTGTAGTTGTTATCATCTGATAAAAACATTTTTCAGTTGTATTCTGACACATAATTCATATTATGAACTTCCTAAACTATATTAAAATGATAATTTACTTTTAATGTCCACTAAGATATCCAGAACATAAAGAGTCCTCACAAGTCTATAATAAGACAAATAAATAATCTAACTTGAAAATGGACAAATAATTTCAATAATAATTTCTGTAAAAAAGTCACAAAATGCCTAATAAGCATATAAGACAAACATCAGTAGTTGTTAAACAGATGTAAAGCAAAATCACGATGCACCACTACACACTAGAATTGCTAGAACCAAAAGCAGAATAAGTATTTGATATGAATGAAGGGAAAATTGAGGTGATTTAGAAGACACTGGAGAGTTAAAATATTGCTTTTTGGGAGACAAAATGATTCAATCACCTGAAAACATTATAGTAGTTTTTTGTTGTTGTTGTTGTTTTTTGTTTGTTTTTTTTCTTTTGTATTGGGCATTGAACTCAGGACTTTGCACTTGGGAGGCAGGCAGCGGCACCGCTGAGCTAAATATCCAGCCGGGTTCGCTAAAATATTAAGTAAGAGTTACTGTGTTATTTGACAATGTTTAGTTATACACCAAAGGAAATGGAAACGCATGTCCACATAGCAAAGGGTGCACCCATTCTCAGCAGGCTACGTGGTAGCCAAATATCGAAACAACCCATAGATCCTCCAAGGGCAAAGGAAACAAGGGTATGACATAGCCCTAAAGCGGAGTACCGTTTGTGACTACTACGCCGATCAGAGAGGAACGGAATACTATAATGGAACAATACACTGCAGGGACAAAGCGCAGCCCCATGCTACAACATGAGTGAACCTCAAAACATGATGCAGAGTAAAAGGAGTCAGATACGAAGAATTATTATGTGGCTCTATACATATGCAAGGACTTGCACAGGTAAATGTAGAGAGATACTGAGTAAATTGGTGGGTGTACTGAGCTAAAGCAGTGAGAAGAGAATGACTACTAATGGACCCAGGGTTTCGTTTTGGGATGCTGACATGCTCGAAAATTAGATTTTGGTACGATTGCAAATCTGTTAAGTATGTTTCAAAGATTTCTTTGTGTTCTTTAACTGTGCTATGTTAACTATGTCTCAATAAGCTGTTAGAAAATTCCAAAGACGAAAAAGGCTTCTTTATATCACAATTTATATTAGTCCACCACTCTATTCTTTTATCTGTGGAATATTATCTTTTATTGTCATTGAATACACCTTGATTTTAAATAGTGAGGGGTTTAATTTATAGTTTTGGTTTTTCTATTTGCATTTTCTATGTCTGTTTTGCTTTTGTTAAAGGAATAGATAAACTTTATCACCATATAAAAAGCTTAATATAATCCTTGAAAACTTACCGTCCATGTGACCTGAATAGTCGTGGGAGTCAGTACAACTGGAGCGTGAAGACGAACAAGGACATCTCCTAGTTCTTTTTGCACTTGTCTGTGGTCTACTCCTTGTGCTGGTGGGCTGATATCTGCAGTCAGATGGGATAACCACATCCAAGTTTTAAAATTAATAATATGACCTCAATTTATTTGACATAATCAACAGTATGAATTTTGAACTCAAAATTAGGAAAATAGAAAAACTTGTTGTGTCATAAGCATGTCTATATATTTATATATGAAACTCTATAGAATGTATATAGACTATATAGAGAGACTATAGAGACTATATGTACTATATAGAATATATGGAAATATATATCTACAATGGTCAGACATTGAAACAGGACATTTATGTCATTATATGTTATTAAAAGAATGTTATTATCCCTCATCCCCATTCAAATACAGACACATCATTGTTTGCAAAATAATTAGCACGATCACTCGGAAAAAATAAAGTTCATGGTGTGTGCTAGATTTCTTTAGCAAGGGTAGCTTAATTTTGATACTGGTGCATTGAATGATTTTTCCAAGAAGTCAATGTTGACATACACCGCAGTTTAGGAAATGGCAGAGTCCCTGGTCTCATTTAATAGGTTGTGTTTTCCTACTGCTTGACCTACTTCAGGCTAGAAGCATGGGAGGGAAAGGAACGGGAGCAAAACCAAACAACATCTTTGAGCTGAAAAATTTAAAATATGCATAAAATGCTACTAAACAATACTCTATGGACAAAATGCAATATCTGAGAAGAGGCTGTGTAGCTGTTTGGGGAGAGTAAGTTAAAGGGAGGAAAGGAAGAAAGACTGCAAGTGTTTCCAGGGATTTACACGAAGCCATCCGTGCTGTGTCTCCTTAATCACCAGTCACCTCCACACTGCTCTGTTGCCTCGTAGAGTGATATAGTCTGTGTTCACTAGGTAAAATGATATTACAGTCCTTCAAACTGATATCATACACTGAATTTCACATATATTTACACTCATCTTTTTATAAAATTAACTTGCAACATTAACATATACAAATTGAATTTTTTCTCCAATTATTTTAAGGAAGTCCAATTTAAAATTATTTTTCATCTCCTTTCCTCTATGTTCTTAGACCACAATGTACAATTTCTGCAGAAATATTTTAACTATATATCTTAGCTGTTACATAAATTAGGTGCAGTAAATTAAACAGGACATTAATAATTGGAAAACATACATAAGTGATCTTTTTTCCTGGCCTTCCCTTTTATTTCAGTTAATGTAAACAGCACTGTGAAGTTTTACTTGAATTGGGGGCGGGGAAAGTCACTTCATGTGAATATTAACCTTTTCTGATCTATATGTGGTTTACTATGATGTTGATGTTATATACATAGGAGCCTCAATGAAACAAAAGACTTCAAGATCCTGTGGTACTTAATAGCTTTGAAAAATAAAAGCTCATGAAACAAAGTGTTCTTAGGAATGTTTTACAAGACACGAAGCTAAGTGAGATATCAAAACTGATCCTGACATTCAGACGTAAAACCTGAGTTTTCCTATTAAATATCTGTTAAGAGAACATAAATCTTTGCTCCGTATAGGCTCTCAACTGGAACAAGCTAGATCACAAACAACTTTTCATTAATCTTTTTTTGACCTTTTCCCCAAGAGTTATTTTATAAGTCAAGATGTAGTGGATGGCATAGTTACTGAATGATCAGGGAGGGCTGTCAAACTTCATCACACCAGAAGTCCTCCCATTCTGTTATCTCACCACCTAACACTACAGTGACACACAAAAATCTATTTCTATCCACACAGGTGGACACTAGCTAGGCAATATAATTTCTGGACATAAAAAATTGTATATATTGTTCATTTCACATTCAATTATTTAATTTACTCATTAAATTCAGATGTATTAAAAGCAAATTGATCTAGCTAAGGTAAAATATAACTGGTATTAGGTCCTCAAATTCTTTGTTGTGTTTTTTCCTTTCTCCTGAGACAGGTTCTTTACCTACAGGCTCTTTATCATCATGGAAAATTAATCACATTACTGCTTGGAGAACAATAGCAAAGTGGCATTCCCTCCTCCCTCGACTGTCATCATGTCAGCAATGTTACAGTCACGTGGTGACTTTATTTTACTTGATTTCTTTAAGGGTCCTTTCTCTGTTATAATGGCTTGGTAGTTACTATCACTGAACTACATTGTAATTATAATAATGTTTTATGGCTGTGTGGTGCTTTTCATAGCATAAAATACTACTTGGAATTATACCTTGTTTAAAGCCCTTTACGTACAAATAAGAAATAATTAACCCTTTCTCAAGAACCTTGCAGGAAGTAGATAGGAACAAATAATAAAGGCACATTACTATTATTTTAATTCCCTTCACATGTTAGCAGTACAGGAAACCATAATGTTGCATTCTGCACTACACCTGAGACTCCAATGACCTCTCAGGTGGAAAGACACAGGTTACTAAAGATAAAATGCGGCAAATCTTTGATTTTGAAATTATATTTTTAAAATTCAGAAGGGTTTTTTTGTTAATCAAAAGAATTGAAAGCCACAGGAAGGAAACTTGATTTACTATTTTCTGAAATAAATTACTCCTTGCACTGTGAACGAATAAAACACATTTTAGTGGTGGTTGCTAAAGTTCAGCACCAGCATCACCTGGAGGGCATATTTAGTGATGTGGGGTCAACCTCAGAGCTCTGAATCCTAGTCTCAAAGTCTATGTTTCCACCAGGGTCAGGGAATGCCATTCTACCCATTCAGGAACTACATTTTGAAAGCCACTACACCACAAAAGTGAAATTTCTGAACAGTAAGGGAGTGATTTTACACTCCTTTCTGGGCATCTATTCATTTTAATTCTTGGGTTTTTTTTTCTTTGCTATTGTATAATTTATACAAAGAAAGAGAAAAGTTTTCTTTCTCTTGTAAATATATTAAGGCCCTGAATTACTGGATTCAATTTTAATACAAATGTATCCAGTAACTTGGTTTATTCCTTAACCCTATAGACACTGAAAGCTCTGTAAAGACCACACATTTTAAGAAGGTAAACAACAAACTTGCTTCTCCTGACTTGATGAAGTCCAACGGATCACTATTGAAAGCATCACACAGGGAGAGAAAGAAGTAAGAAATGATCAAGTTGTGACATGGGCCTATCTCACATTGAACATATTTATTATGTACAGCAAATATATACTAATGATAATTTTTTAAAAATAAAAAGTAACCTACTTAATCTTTTAGTCATGTCATCTCCACGTTCTAAAATATTTATCTGATGCTTCCTTTTAAAAGCAGTCATGTTTCAATTATTGAAATTACCTTGAGTACGCACAGGATCTGACATAGGGCTTGGGTCACTGAGGCCTTGGGAGTTGATCGCTCTAACCATGAACAAGTAGATTGTATTGGGCCGCAATCCTCTCACAGTATAGAGGGTGGTCTTCACATGGTCTGCCACTGTCTGCCAACTATTGCTCACCGATTGGCTGCAACAGAACAGAAATTTAATTTAAAGAACAGTCATAAAGCTATTGGAAATGGAATTGGGCATCAATGACAAAGGTTAATGGCTGAAAAATTAAACACACACACACATACGCAACAACACTTGAAGTGTTCAGCCCAATAAATGAAACATTTGATGATTTCAGTTTATTCAACAACAAAGCCGAGCCCGCCTAACAGAAGTGCCATGCACAACAAAATTAAACTCAGCCAGAAGATGTGACAGCCCTTTGCTAAATGCACAGCAGCCCACTAAATGAATACCTGTAAAGAAACAGAGGCCAAGGTCACAACATCAAGGTTATACGATAAGAATGGTCCTCATAAATGCATACATAAATATATATATATACCTTGAAAAGAATTAACCTGCAGAAAGAATAAATGGACTACAGAGTAAATTATGCCAATACATTTTCCTGTTACAAGGTGTGTTTTCTTTTGCATCAATTCCACATGCAATATTATAATAGAGCCTTCTAAAACTACATATCTGTAAAAGAAGAAAGGAAGCATGTAATGAATATTTTCCCTTGGTTACATTTTCAATAAAATTGTACATTACACAGTATTGTGATTTCTCAGAATGGAGAAATATCTCTGAATCTGGGACCTCTTCACAGCCAGCGACAGATGCATGACATATTGGAACACTTTGTTTAAAGTCAAATGCTACTTTTTCTGAGATAAGAGAAAAGGTAATGTCTTAGGTTGTCTCTATTTTTCAGATGTCTTTAAGAATTAAGGATAAAAATTATAGAAAAGAGCTTTTTGAAATTTAAAAATGATGTATCTACCATTACCTTAAATATGGATTAGAGAAGGTTAATGTGAAAGTGATCATTTGCCCTAATATTGACAAGAGACATCGGCTATCTTTCAAAGTAGGCAGTATCAAACTAGTGAAGCTGAATATGAAAATACATTAGTCCATTTTCCTATATGTGTCAGTAGTTTTTCAAATCCCTATAGGATAATTTTATAATGATATTTTCTACTTTATTATCTATATCTTTAAGTTAATGGCAATTTTTTAAATGATACCTAAAAATACTTTTTCTTTTAGCAACATGGGATCAATTTCTTAATTGTGATTTTTGCATTTTCCTGATATAATATCCAATGGATGTATTCAAATATATAACATAAAAATATCGGAATTATTTTATGTTATTAGGAACAAATATTCCAAAGTCTCATCCTTTGGTAAAGAATGCCTAAGTTTAAAGAGTATCTGCTGAATTATAGGTATTTGCCATCTAGTTCTAGTCTCAAATTCTCATTTTAAGTACATACAGTTGTCAGTATAAAGAATTGAGTAAACAGTTATGTCACTCACTATATTCCTACAGAGCTAAAAATAATGTATATTTCATATTGCTATTAAATTACAAATAGAAAAGTCAAGTCTCTTCTTAAAGTCAGATATAAAACAGAAATTCTTAAAATGCATTGACTCAATGTCTCCTTTACATAATAATACAGCATGATAGCTCAGTTGAGATTTTTGCGATCTAGGAACTAAATGCAAAAACCAAGTACAGAGAAGAGCAGTTGTCCCATACCTGAAAGCCTCAATGATATATGCACTCGCTGGAAGAGTTCCAGGGAGACCTGGTTGCCAGGACAAGGTGACACTGTTCTTAGTAACGTCTGTGACCTGTGGTTTGGATGGTGGCCCTGGCAGGTCATTTAAATCATAATTTTTACTAATTGTTGCTCCAGATTCTATAAAGAACAGGCAGAAAAGAACTTTAATTTTGATGGCATAAGCTGACTCTGATGTTTAAAAAGACACAGTCCAGTAAAGGAGACTTGAACAGCAAAGAATTAATCTTAATGAAGCAGAAGTATATAAACAAATAAATATATTTTTCCAAATTAACCAACATAAACTGCATTTTCATACATGATCACTAGAATTGCTTGTACTTCAGGGAATGTAAAATAACATTATGAACAAATGTAATAAATTGCACAGATGCAATACTGTGTCACATATGCTGGTGTAAGAATTCAAAGTGACATTGAATGTGAAGACTTGGATTTACTATCAATTAATTTTAAGCCTCAATCTCTTCTTAACTTATTATTTGATAGTTACCAATCAGATGGAGTTCAAAATTTCTATTCATAAAATTATTCGCAAGGAACTCACCCGTCACATCCAGTACTGCACTCCAGGCAGTCTCCCCACTTGAACTTGTAGCCACACAAGTGTAAGTGCCAGTGTCAGAGATCTGGTGTACAGAGGAGAGAGATGTCAATCGTAAGCAGCTTGTAGGATAATTTCCCAATTTCAACCAGGCAATATCACCTTCATAAATTGAGGCATATCAATTGGTTGTCCAAATATTTCATTAGAGTCAACTATGTATCTGCATCAAATATGAAAATTAACTCATATAACATTATTCATAATACTGATTTAAAAGTTTTTTAAAAGTATGTTTCTACAACAAATGTATTTGAAAGTTCTGTTTGTATTTTCTCTTTCTTTCCATGTGGTAACATTTTTATCTCCTAAGTCCACTTTTCGGTGGGACCTTACTGTGTCAGAGCTAGATAAAGACAACACAGAAACAACTGACTTAGAACCCTATAAGCTTACAGTAATGCTAAGTGGTCATTCTTGTTGCAAATAAAATGTATTTCTACAGGTAAAATTTGCCCAGGTATAAATAAGCAATAAGAGAGTAGTGGGTCACATTTCCTCTATACAAAGAGAAATATGGTGAAAGAAATAATTTTTACAAAAGGAAAATTATTATTATTTTTTCCTTTTAAAGAATAAGTAATCATGTGAACTGCATCAGGGTAGCAGTGAGTAAAATAAAGTTGCATCATTACAAAACAAATGAACCATTCCTATAGTTACTGTAATTTAGAAATGAAAAGGATCATAAAAATCTAATATATAATTATTTTTGAAGAAACATATAAAAATTGTCATTTCATTGATTATTTGAAATACTTCCATTATTCATGAAAGAGTGGCCAAGAACTTTACAAAGAGTTTAAAATATAACCACGAGTTCTGTTTTATAAATGTAAAGTCAAATAATTCTGTGAGTGTACTTTAAAAACAGATTCAAGATCCACTGCAGTTGAACTCTATTGGCTAATGCTGCAAGCAATATTCATTTGAATTAGGTTAGGTATATAAGAAAAGGGATACAGAGAAGAGTATCTGATGGACAAAGAGAATAAGAAAAGGCAGAAGATGTAGGATTAAAGTTCTATGATGAAAATGGGTCTAATTGTTGAATAAATATGAGAGTGCATGAAATATTACATCTACTCAGTTCAAACTATAAGTGTACTGATGACTTTAGCTTTCACAATCAATTCTAAGGTAAATCACTAGTGCAATTGATGTCACTGCCATTTCACAAATTTAATTGATTTTAAATGTCATTATGTATTTTAACTTAAGTTTCAAATTGCTCTGGCACGTCATTCTTTACCGTATTATCTCTGTACCATTGTCTTCTGTTACACAGACGCATGATGGGAATAGCTATTGTGGAATAAGCTATTCTTTCGAATGTGGCGCTACGCACATTATAGTCATTAGAAATCTTTGCATTTAAGAAGCATCACTCACAAACTAAATATAATGAGCAGAGGTTGGATTTTAATGGGATATTCATTTGAATATGGACTGTGAAAGAGTAAAAGAATTTGCATTTTATTATAGCTGTTCAACTAAAATGGAGCACTTGTTATATAGTGCAAATGCTAAAGAAGACCATGTAGGTAATGCTTCTTAACTGCGCCTCATTGTCACTGTGGGGAGATACAAGTCTGACATTAGCTGTAGTAGGTAGGCTTTAATGAGTTTCAGAATGTTCTGCTTTCCAAAAGATACAAATTTAGTTACCAATTAGCTGGACTATGAGAACACAGTATTCATCATGTTTTTTTTTTTCTTCTTGCATTAAGTAATTAAAAAAAAGTAGTGAGACACAGAGGGATATGACCTATACAAAAACCTCTCATGCCTGGAGAATGGAATTAATATAACCTCTCTTTAAACATACTCATCTTACAAAAACAAAAGCAAAACATATATATAGATTTTTTTTTAATGTGTGTGAAGCTTTTCTGATTATTCAAAATTACTTCTCACTTCTACAAAGAAATAGGATTTATTTAATCATCAATTTAGTAGAATAATTTTAGAAATGCCTGTAAAATATAAATGGGCTTTTTCCTTTCCAGATGAAGTGGTGCAATCAGCAATGTGTGTTTAGACACTAATCCACAAGCAAAAGTTTTAGAAAGAACTA